TGTGCATTTGTGTGCAATAACACCTGGTCACATTTGTCGGAAGCCTTTGCAATATATATATATATATATATATATATATATATATATATATATATATATATATATATATATATATATATATATATATATATATATATCAAAGGCCCGTGCCTTTTCAGCGCCCTTCCTCTAAATGTAAGTGTAATTATAGATACATTTATAATTGTGCTCAAAGGGAACAGATATAAACACCTACAGAGGGAAGCTGAATAACCAGGCTGTGATCCTTATATCAGACTGCGAGCTGCGGGCACCAACAGTCTGATTAACGAGACTCGACCAGGAGGCCATGTCAGAGCGCGGGCCTTGCACCAGGCCTGGTAGTAGGGTCACACTGGCTTCCCAGGTTGATTGATTGATTGATGAAGATTAAGTCACCCAAAAGGTGGCACGGGCATGATAGCCGGTAAGTGGTGGCCCTTTGGAGCCATTACCAGTATCAAGAGCTGATACTGGAGATCTGTGGAGGTGCAACTGCACCCTGCGTGACGGGAGATGTCTCCCCCGTCAAAATCCTTCCCAGGTTCGCAATGTGAAACTTATAAGCTGAACCGCGGGACAAATTATAAAGTTGCTAGTGAAGGAATATTTGTAACAATGTTGTGAAGATACTTAGTACTCTTGGTGTGGACATTATCATAGTACATGTTGATGCTGGCATCCGCTCAACATATACACATGATGGTCACGGATCGGAGAGTAGTAGACTATCAGGATGATACAGCTTCAGGCTCCTACACCTCTGAGTGATTGAAGATATTAAATTAGTTTCCACTATTATTAATTTCTCCTCCCCATGTTAATTAAGTCACTCTTAACATATCAGATGTTAATGTTTAACATTCTCGATAAAATGTCACCCAGTCCTACACAAGACTGGTTCAACCTAAGGGTCGTTTGGGTTTACTCTGCGTAATGATCTAATTGTTCATAAAGTACACCGCCCATATTTTACAAGATCTTCCTAAAAATACGTCACATACTCCACCTTTAGCAGAGGTGGAGTCCTCTGAGCGCGCGTCCTACTATCGCGACAAGCGCCGGCGTCCCACCACCAGTGGTCATACTTGCAAGTCCCTCACTAGGGAAGCCTGAGTTAATGGGTCACTCGTAATGCAGGTAGAGGGGCGGGGACCAGGTCTGGGTTTACAATGTGCGGCTCTCCCTGGAGCCACTCAGGAGAACACATGTTTGCCAGGCTACCCGCTGCCTCCCAACGTTCCTCACACAAACACAAACACACTTGTGGAAGGAATATTTATTGGTTGGTCTGGTGTACCAGGCTACCATGACGGAGGGGTTATGAGAGACCAGGCGGTGGTCTTGGTGTTGTGAGAGACCAGGCGGTGGTCTTGGTGAGTAGTGTTGTGAGAGACCAGGAAGTGGTCTTGGTGACAGAGGTGCCCTGGGCCGCCTTGCTCGTGCCGGGTAGTGCAATAACCTGTGCATTACATTCACGAGAATCTAGCGACTGTTTGTGTTGACAAAGGCACGTGATGTAGAACATTTGAGTCTCATCCCCGGGCTTTATGATAGCCGGTGATCCCTCCAGAGGTTTACAAGCGTAATAACTGGGGTTTATTGGAGGTTTTAGTACGGGTGTGTGATAATGCTGAGCCCCATAGTGAGTGTTTATTGTCTGGGGCACTTCTGTTCTGGCCGGGGTTGGGGTCTCAGACTCGGTGATAAGTCTTACTATGGGGAAGTTGTGCCTCACAGGTCTGTGATTAGTCCTGCTGCGGCAGTTATCTGCGCTGATGTTATCAGTTATCAGCGGTGATGTTAGTAGTGATCAGACCGGATTTTAATTATCAGCGGTGATGTTGGTAATGATGGTAACAATTATCAGCGGTGATGTTGGCAGTGCTTAGCGATGATGTTGGCAGTGCTTAGCGATGATGTTGGCAATAATGAGCGGTGTGATGAGAAGTAGCGCTTTGTCAAGGAGTTTATCAGAAGAGAACACAGCTCTGGCCCTGAGGAAGTCAGCTATGCATACCCCGACTCTTGTGGTGTTTGTTCATACTCCTCCTCTTGTTTACCTCTGTGATCCCTGTGCTGTAGTTACCCCCGTGGACCTTGTGTACTACTTACCAGTTACCCCTGTGTGTTAGTTTGCTTATCATGTAGTCTTTGTGCTACATGAACTGAATTTAACACTATAATCGTGTCTCTTAGCCGCGCGTCTCTCCGTTAAAACTTGGATATTTGTGTACGTAAGTTTTCCTGCGCATCAGCAGGTGTCCCACGAGCACAGGAACCTCCCTGCTGGAGATTTTTCTCTCTCCCCCTCCCACCCTAGGCCAGGCTGCTCCCACCTCCCTGCTGGAGACCTCTCCCCCACCCTAGGGCAGTCAGCTCCCACCTAGCGGAGGCAGGTCTATGACGTACTGGAGAAGACCTTAATATTGGCCTTGGTCTCTGCATAGCAAACACGGCACGTATCAGTGTGTAGCAGCTGTGATGGATCATAACTAGTGCAGCCCGTGTGTGTACTCATGTATACTCGCCTCTTTGTGCATCCTTCATCGTGCTTTTACCTCTTGCATACCACTTTGCCACTTTTCTTATTCTATCAACCCTTGAAACATTTTATGTCGCTGTTATGTATTGTTTCTATCTTCTCTTCTAGCGACATTAGGCCCAGTTCTTTCTGTCTTTCTTCTTATCCCCATTCCTCACAATACTGGGACCAGCCTCGTTTACAAACCTGTGTGCTTTTTTCTAGTTTCCTTATGTTTTTGATGTAGGACTCACGATGGGGCGGCATACTCTCAGACTGGTCTCACGTAGGTGGTGTAGTGATCTAAATGCCAGAAAATCTAAATGCCTCATTTAGGTTTATGAACGATATTCTGACTTTGCTATTGTAAAGTATGTTGCTGGTGTTATTATACTGATATATGTCTCCGGAGTTAGACTTGTTGCTAAATCCACTCCCAGGTCTTTTTTTCCCTAGTCATTTTCTCTAGTTTTTCCCGAAACTGAGGTTCTTAACAGTGCCTGTCAGTCCTGCACAGTGGCACCTGTGTTCATGTTATCTTGTATGTAGGACATAACAGTAATACCACAGTCTCCACACCACTCACATGCCCACTACTCATAACTTAACTGCACTCATAGCAACTCCTGTCACTCACAGTACCAGTACACCTACCTGTAACACCAGGTATTCATCAGCTTATTCTTGTATGTTTAACACGACGCGAGTGTTGGCAGTAGTAATTACCAGGAGGCGGTCGTCATGATAAATGGTATTATAACCACTCGGTAATTGCAGACGATGAGTCACAATAACGTGGCTGAAGATATGATGACCAGACCACACATCAGAAGATGAGGAGACGACCACGTTTCGGTCCATCCTGGACCACTACCAAGTCGATTGTGACAATTGACTTGGTAATGGTCCAGGAAGACGGAAACGTCGTCGTCTCATCATCTGCTTCTGTGGTTTGGTCGCCACCCGGTTATTGTTGAAGTGACTGTGTTTTAACCAGCCCGTGTTTGTTATGCCTCTTCTTTCTTATGATCACTTTGTTCACCAGCTGTTATTCTCCCTCACTAATGGTGTTGGACATTCTCTGTATGATGAACCCCCTCACCTCGCATTGCCACACACCCCCAACACTTCTCTTAACACACACTTACCCTATTAAGAATGGTCGTAAGTCGTTATACAAATATTACGTCACAACGGATACCTTGACTTTTTTACGAACAAAAGGAAGGGAGAGTGACTGATACCACAGGGAACAAAAGAGATTATTAATTAATATATATATATATATATATATATATATACAGCTTGACATAGATATGGATGACAGGATTAAGTCAAATGAAAATGAAAGATAGGAAATTTTCTGGTTGCAAATTGTGAATATATTTAACATAGCAATTAAAGGTAACATTTGATACCGTCTGTGTGTGTGTGTGTGTGTGTGTGTGTGTGTGTGTGTGTGTGTGTGTGTGTGTGTGTGTGTGTGTGTTTACTAGTTGTGTTTTTGCGGGGGTTGAGCTTTGCTCTTTCGGCCCGCCTCTCAACTGTCAATCAACTGTTTACTAACTACTTTTTTTTTTTTTTTTTTTTTTTTTTTTTTTTTTTTTTTTTTTTTTACCACACACACACACACACACACACCCCAGGAAGCAGCCGTGACAGCTGACTAACTCCCAGGTACCTATTTACTGCTAGGTAACAGGGGCACTTAGGGTGAAAGAAACTTTGCCATTTGTTTCTGCCTCGTGCGGGAATCGAACCCGCGCCACAGAATTACGAGTCCTGCGCGCTATCCACCAAGCTACGAGGCCCCTATGTGTGTGTGTGTGTGTGTGTGTGTGTGTGTGTGTGTGTGTGTGTGTGTGTGTGTGTGTGTGCCACCTGCGTATTTGTTCTTAACAGGAAATACTTTATCACAACTCTCCTGTAGGTTGATAGTTGTGATGTATGATGTAGCCAGCTACCACGTAGTGCAGTATATATATGCACCAATGTATGGTGTGGACCAACTACCATGTACTTTGTTGTTGTAGTTTAAGATTCGTTACGTGGAACAAAAAGTTCCAAGTAGCACGGGCTATGGTAAGCCCGTAGTGGACTTACCTGGCACAGGAGCGGGGCTGTAACTCGTACCACGTAGTTGTTGTTATAAATTCAGCTACTCGGAACAAGTTCCAAATAGCACGGGATATGGTGAGCCCGTAGCTTACCTGGCACAGGAGCGGGGCAAGTAGCACGGGCTATGGTGAGCCCGTAGTGGACTTACCTGGCACAGGAACGGTGCTGTGTGTACCACGTAGTGTTTGTGTCAGTATATATACACTCATGTATGGTGTGGCCAGCTACCACATAGTGTAGTGTTTGTGTCAGTATTTAGACATTAATGCACGGTGAGGCCAGCTAGCAACCAGTATATCTGTCAGCATATGGACACTAATGTATGTGTTTCATGTTTCAG